CCGAATTAACATGCATGCCTAAACTTCATGTCATTTAATCCATATACCACTGATTTTGAGTCCCTATATAGTGCTCGGGACCTTAACAAATCAATCCAGGGTCATTCGGGGTGTTTTTAGCCAAACCAAACCCCCAGCCCTGTCAAACAGCGCTCGATCGCGAAATAGTGCTCGAGCGTTGTTCTGTAGAACGCAATACTCGAGCCCTGTTTCTAGAAATAAAAGTAGAATTTCATAAAATGATTGCAATTAAGTCTATATGCCATAGTGTTAATGACCAATGCCCAAGTCTACGTGCCTAAAATTTAATACTATTGTCTCCAAATTCACAACCATAAAGCAGTCAAAATAATACCCCAATCCTAACCTCACGCAGCTTTCTAATTTCCTTCAGCCAAACCTGAATTTAAACTAAAAATATTGCTATTTTTGTAAAGTCACTTTACATCAGACCAAACCCATGATTCAGAAACAAAGTTTCATAATTGATAAAATAAAAAACCATAAATTTCAGAACTAGTTTGCTTCTTTGATGCCACAGCAAAGTAATTCAAGACGCATTTTTTTTTTTTTTTTTTCAGTTCTAAAGCAAGAAGGAAGAGACCAATACCATTTACTCCGTAAGGGACAAAGGCAAGACCTTGGCGTGGATAGACTCCATTTTAACTTCTGAGGGAGCAATAATGGACCACCAACTTGACTTCAAGTCAACGTTAAGTATTTATATCCAAAATATACAAAAGGGTAGTGATATTAGCACCTAATTATCTAACTAAATGTTTATGATTGGTTATTTATGGATAAAACAAGTAAGTGGAGAGTAGTATCATTCCTTATTTAGTACATAGACAAATTAATTAAAAAAAAAAAGTTTGACAATTCATTGTAAGTATCATTTTTCACTACTTCCAAAGCTGAAATAAAATAAAATAAAATTTTAAGTGTAGAAAAGGGTGGAATATGGTGGGGTACTTCATAGTTGTAAGCATCGATCACCAAGAAAGACCAATGCCCATATTTACAGCAACTTTCTAATTGCCTTCAGCAAAACCCTAAGTTTACGCTGAAGAAAACAATGCTTTTGTAAAGTTAATTACTTTCATCATATAGCATCAGATCAAGCCCAATGCTGTGGTTTTAATTAGATTTCAAGGCAAGAAGGAAGAGACCAAAACCATTAACAATTTAAGGGACAAAGACCAAGACCTCCGAGTCTGTGGGCTCTTTTTTCTTCTCCCGAGTTAGTGATTGCAAAGATAATTGACCACTAAGTTGACTTAAACTCATTGGTATTGTAGAAATAATAGTCAAAATAGTATGGGACTTGAAGAGTAATGCTATAGTGAGCACTCTCATAATATCGGTCATGAATTCTCTTTGTTTAACTTCAGGAATAGAGTTTTTAAAAGGTGCAAAAAGTCAAATTGATCATTTATTAAATCTTTCAATTCAATGTTATCAGTTCATGATAACATTACTCTAAAATGAATATAATTTAAAAGATTTAAACCAGCATTAGTGCACATTGACATTGCTCTGTACTACAACTCCTATACTGGGATTGACATTGAGTTCATTTTCTGAATTTTACAACTGAGTTCGAAAAAAGTTAAGAAAATTTACATTTTTAGATTTCTGGCTTTACTGAAGTTCTGTCCAGTTAATGAAATTCTACTAAATTGACATTGGGTTCATTTTCTGAAATTCTTCTTCTATTTGCATGACCTTGTTGATGTGTACTACAATTGCTATATTGGGATTGACATTGAGTTCATTTTCTGAATTTTACAACAGAGTTTGAAAAAAGGTAAGAAAATTTACATTTTTAGATTTCAGGTTCTATTGAAGTTGTGTTCAATTTATGAAATCTACTATATTGACATTCAGTTTATTTTCTGAAATTCTACTTCTATATGTATGACCTTGTTGTTGTGTATTACACATGCTATATATATATATATATATATATATATATATATTGATAACCCAGAATTCTCCTAGACAGGACCCTTTGGACCCCCCTCCCAAAGGCATCAAACTGGGATACTGCAGCCGACCCCACAGCAACAGCACCATGGTTAGTCGAGGGTGATAAGGGAGGCGGCGAGAATCGATCACTGGCCTTTTGTGTGACAGTTCCAAGACTTACCAACCGCTCCAAGCCCCTGGGGGCTATTACACCTGCTATATTGGTATTGAATTGAGTTCATTTTTTGAAATTATACTTCTATGTGCATGACCTTGTTGTTGTGTACTACACTTGCTATATTGGTATTGAATTGAGTTCATTTTCTAAAATTATACTTCTATTTGCATGACCTTGCTGCTGTGTAGTATAACTGCTATATTGGATTCAAATTGAGTTAATTTTCTGAAATTGTACTTCTATGTGCATGACTTTACTACTGTGTACCATAACTGCTATAATGGGATTGACATTGAGTTCATTTTCTTAATTTTACAACTGAGTTTGAAAAAGGCTAAGAAAATTTACATTTTTAGATTTATGGTTCTATTGAGGTTGTGTTTAGTTTATGAAATTCTACTATATTGACATTGAGTTCATTTTCTAAATTTATACTTCTATTTGCATAACCTTATTGTTGTATACTACAACTAATATATTGGGATTTTCATTTTCTGAATTTTACAACTACGTTTGAAAGAAGGTAAGAAAATTTGCATTTTTAGATTTCTGGTTCCATTGAAGTTCAGTTTCTGAAATTCTACTATATTGACATTGAGTTCAGTTTCTGAAATTATACTTCTATTTGTATGACCTTGCTGATGTGTACTACATCTGCTATATTGGGATTGCATTGAGTTCATTTTCTAAATTTTACAACTGAGTTTGAAAAAAGATGAGAAAATTTACATTTTTAAATTGACAATAGTATTAAATTTTAGGCGTGTAGACTTGGGCATTGGTTTTAACACTATGGCATATAGACTTGGGTATTAATGTTATACCGTGTAAATATGGGCATTGGTCTTCATTTTCGGCTAGATACAAATACCCAACTTTGACAATAGTACTAACTATGTACCCACACCATAGTTCACCGGTTTTTACACTACCATTTTATTTCCTTTTTTTTTTTTTTTTTTTTTTTTTTTGTGCTTTTCTTTTCTTTTTTAATTTGAATATTGATAAGTAGTTTGAAAGTCAAATTCAACTAGTGGGGAATGATGTCATCTAGACGTAATACATTATGTGATTCACATAAATTTAGTCGGATGTATCATACTCTAAAACTTTATATCACAACTCATTATTTATTTATTTTATATTTTTCAGTCCGTTATGAAAATTCTTGTAGCATACTCAAGTTAGTGATATGTAATTAGACTTTCCAAACATGGAAAGTGAAATCAAGTTTGCTCAAATTCAAATCCGGATTTAATTTGAAATTAGATCCACAATTGAATGTTGATTGTGATTTGAAACGATGATTTCATCTTTAAATTGAATTTTAAGCTGTCTGACAAAAAAAAAAAAAAAATTTAAAATTGAATATAAAGCCTTTGATTTAATCGGAAAAGTGGTGGGACGTCAAAACCTCCGGCATGAAGTAAACTTGTAAATGTTAAAAAAGATAATTCATGGTTTAAATAGTAAACTAACAAGTTAAAGGGAAATAAAATCAATTCAAAGTGGAGAAGACAATTGGGAATGTCTTTATTAACTTTATCAAATATGAAGGGTGCCTTTGTTAAAAATATGAATTAACTTGTATATATTTGTGAATAGGATAAACTTTAGAGGGTGTAAGTGTAATTTACCATTTAACAATTATTCAACTTCGTTTCTGAACCACAGCATAGGGCTTGAAAGTAACTTTACCAAAACAGCATATATAATTGTTTTTGTCACTGTAAATTCATGGTTTTACTGAGGCAATTAGAAAGGTTCATGTACCCGAGCTCGGGTCTTTAACATTATGGCCTGTAGATATGGGCATTGGTCTTCCATTTTTGGCTAACATGCGTTGGTCTTCCATTTTTGGCTTGGTATGCATTGGTCTTCCATTTTTGGCTAATATGTGTTGGTCTTTCATTTTTGGCTAAATATGCATTGGTAGGTCCTGTCCTGTTGATGCTTACAACTAACTATGAACCCCACCATATTCTATTGTTCCCCCCTTTATTACACTTCCCATCTCTTTTTTTCCATTCAATATTGGAAATTCTTGTAAGATGCTGAAGTCAATCACGTGTAATAAGAGAAAATAAACAATGTGTTCGATGCACCATATTCTTCGTAACTCATAAACTATATGCGTTTATACGTGTACAACACAACATGTATCTAGTGCATGGTGCTCTGTGTAATAACGATGAGATTTCACCTTTAAACTGAATTTAAAGCCTTTAATTTATTCAAAAAAAAAGTGTAAATATGGGCATTGGTCTTCATTTTCGGCTAGATATGCATTGGTTTGTCTTGGTGATGCTTACAACTATGTACCCCCACCATAGTCCACCGTTTTTTACACTTACATTTTATTTCCAGTTTTGTCCTCCTCCTTTCTTTTTTAACTAGAATATTGATAAGTAGTTGGAAAGTGAACTTAACGGAGAATGATGTCATCATTACTTACATAAATTTAATTGAATGTATCACAACTCATTATTTATTTATTTTATATTTTTCAATCAGTTATGAAAATTCTTGTAGCATTCTCTGAAGTTAGTGATAGTAATTAGAGCTTTCCAACGATGGAAAGTGAAATCAAATTTGCTCAAATTCAAATCGGGATTAATTTGAGATTAGATCCACAATTGAATGATGATTGTGGTTTGAAATGATGATTTCATCTTCCCCACCCCTCGCAAAAAAAAAAAAAAAATTGATTTTAAAGCCATCGTTTTCCTCGACACGTCAAAACCTCCGGCATGAAGTAAAATACACTTTCTAGGTCAAAGTCTTTCTACAGTAACCGCCCGCTTGAAGAAATAAGTCCTACATTGTTTATATATATATATATATCATCCTTCAAGCATAATATACGTATACAACTACAATTTCCTCCCTTGGAGCCGTATAAAAAAACTTAAAAATGATAAGCAAAGCTTCTTCAACCTCTACTTCCATCATATGCTGCTGCCTGTTCATGATTTGGATGATCGTGGTTTCACCTGTACTCTCTGCACGAAAATTGTCCACCACTCCCAGCAGCGGTAAGTACTCTCTCTCTGCCTCTCTCTCTCTCTCTCTCTCTCTCTCTCTCATATTCAGATATTCATTGATTTTGTTGCGTGAGTTTTGCAGGCGGACCTACTAAGATTGGAGCAGGTAGAAATGATCATCAGAAAGGTGGATCTGCTATACCATCAGGACCAAAAACAGCTACCAATGGCACGACTGTGATTACCAAATCTGCTTACGCCGAAATCACAGTTAACGCAACTGACTGTTCACCTAATGCGCGTTGCAAAAGAGGCGGTAAACCATAGAAGTCTGGCACAGTGAGTAAAACTGAAACAAGCGAAGCAGCTGTTGGTTCACATGTAACATTTGTGGTGGGAATATTATTGAGATGTGAGATCTGTGCGTATTCTGCATGGTTTGGTTTTATATATTTAGCCAAACTAATCATCTCTCCGATGTATGCCACTATGTTATATATATATATGTTCAACTTCAATTTCGATTTTCCTAAATTTGGATTTTCCTTTTAATTCTTAAATATGTAGAGAGCTGTGAATCTGTGATACTAAACTGCAAATGATTCATCTGAACCCATCGTTTATTAACATCGAGTTGCTTTCTTAATTAATTCATTGACCCAAAGTAAATTGTCTTTACATTGATCCTTGACATTTTTTTAATAATTTTCAATCTTCAACTTTAAAAGGAGATTAATCCATTCGTTGTATATATTGATCTTCAACTTCCTAATAAGGGGAAATGCAATTAATTCATCTCTCTTTTTAAAATATCAATATTTTATCTCCATAATATAAATGTTCACATTGTTAATTCCAAGACAAAATTAGAAAGTGACATTTTTTTTTCCACTTTAATTATCCAAAATGAAAATTTATTTTACAACCGAAGGTTATTTATGTCATCTCCACTTCTAATACTTTTGTCATCTCCACATTGTATAGATATGTGATGCTGCATAATTAAAATGGCATTAGGTGAAAATTTAGTTGTTTTATTTATTTTATTTTTTTCAACTCGCTATTTAATTTAGTTTTTTTCTACACACAAACAAATATTTTCGGCTTTCTTGCTAGTTCTATCAAACCAACGCACCCCTCATGTTGAATTAAATTCCTCCAACTAATGAAGATCTGGAAATAATCTGTCACAGGTGCAATTGATGTAACAAACTGACCTTCCAATCAATTAAAAGAAGTACAAGCTGAGTTGGATGAAGACAACAACATAAGAAACAAGACTAAGGAAACAAATGAGAGGACCTTCTCAGAGGTTGAAGATCGAGCCAATGGTTTATGTTCAATATGCACCAATGCTCGTTTAAATCTCTTAATTATATTCATTTTAGAGTAATGTTATCATATAAACTCATAACAATGAATTGAAAGATTCAATAAATGATCAATATGACTTTTTACACGTGTTAAAAAATCTGTAACAATCTTATAATTAAACAAATACAGTTCATGACTCTTATCATGACAGTGCTCTCACTATAACTACAGTATCATTGAGTTTAAGTCAACTTAGTGGTCAATTATCTTTGCTCTCACTGACTCGGGAGAAGAAAAAGAGCCCACAGACTCGGAGGTCTTGGTCTTTGTCCCTTAATTAAATTGTTAATGGTTTTGGTATCTTCCTTCTTGCCTTGAAATCTAATTAAAACCACAGCATTGGCCTTGATCTGATGCTATATGATGAAAGTAATTAACTTTACAAAAGCATTGTTTTCTTCAGCGTAAACTTAAGGTTTTGCTGAAGGCAATTAGAAAGTTGCGTGTAAATATGGGCATATATTGGTCTTTCTTTCTTGGTGATGCTTACAACTATGAACCCTACCATATTCCACCCTTTTCTACACTTGCCATTTGTTTCTTCCCTTTTTTCTCTCATTTTCGATTCAACTATGTATCATTGACTTGAAGTCAACTTGGTGGTCCATTATTTTTTTTACAAGTAAGATTGTATTAGAAAACATTCAAAAAGGGGAACGAGAAACTACACAAAAGCCAAAGGCAAGAGGGACCCTAAAAAACCCAAAAAAATCTATCATTTCCTCTATAGATTTGCAATATTGCTCAATCAGGAGAGAAAAAGATGCAGATCGAAGTCTTGGTCTTTGTCCTTAAAGTATTTGATCTTGCTTTCTAGACTTGAAATGCGCGTTTTGACTTTACTGTCTTAAGGTATTAAATCTTGTTATATGCGTCGGACTAGGGTAAAGATCCAAACTACTTCTGAACCTTGTTTTTGAATTTTTATTTTAACTATTATGTGTAGCAATGCTGGTTTTAAAGCTCTTATTTATATACATTTTATTCCCATACTATTTTGGCTATAATTACTACAATACCATTGAATTGAAGTCAAGTTGGTGGTCCATTATATTTACTCACTCACTCAGGAGAGACAAAGATGCCCATAGACGAAGGAGTCTGTCTTTGTCCCTTTAAGTGTAAATTGGTCTTGATGGAAAAAGAGTGCATAGACACTGAGGTCTTGGTCTTTGTCCCTTAAATTGAAATTTAGGGCACATTTCAATTTAGGACACATTTTGAATAATTTGACTGTGTTATGGCATTTACACTTGTTATATGTGTAGGGGTAAAGATGCAAACTACTTCTGAACTTTTTTTCTGATATGTTTTTTAAATGATTATGAAACTTAGTTTCTTCACCACAGCATTGGGCTTGATCTGATTTTATATGATGGAAGTAACTTTACAATAGCATCGTTGTTGGTTTTTTTTTTTTTTTTTTTTTTTTTTTTTTTGTCAGCCTAAACATAGGGTTTTGCTGAAGGCAATTAGAAAGTTGCGTGTAAATATGGGCATATATTGGTCTCTTCTTTAATTTTTTTTTTTTTTTTTGGGTTAAAACATATATTGGTCTTTATTTCTTGGTGATGCTTACAACTATGACCCACCATATTCCACCCTTTTCTACACTTGCCATTTTTTAATTTTTATTATTATTATTATTTTTTTACATTCAGCTTTGGAAGTTGTTGTAGTATGATTGGAAGTGGAAAATGATACTTGTACTGAATTTTCAAACAACTTCTTTTAATTAATTTATTTGTGTTGTAAATGAATTAATGTGTATTGTGCAGGAATAATTAATCATAAATATTTGATTAATTAATTCAGTAAATGTATTATCACTCTACTTATATATTGAATATAAATACTTGACATTGACTTGAAGTCAACTTGGTGGTCCATTATTGCTCACACGGAAGTTTAAAAAGGATTCCATCCCCATCAAGGTCAGTAAATGGTATTGGTCTTTTCCTTCTTGCTTCAGAGCTAAAAAGAAAATGCGTGTTGAATAACTTTACTGTGTTATGCCATTAAAAAAGCAAACTAGTTTCTGAAATATATCTGATTTTTTACTTTAACAATTATGAAAAATTTGTTTCTTAACCATGGGTTTGATCTGATGTAATTTGATGAAAGTGACTTTACAAATATAGCATTTTTTTATAGTTTAAATTAAGGTTTTGCTGAAGGAAATTAGAAAGGTGCTTGAAGTTGGGATTTGGGTATTATTTTGATTGCTTTATGGTTGTGAATTTGGTGACAAGTTTTGTCTTCCATCCTAATATGGCCTTATGAATACTAAACACCTGTCCCAAAAATAAAAAAAAATGGATCTTATTGGATCAAATTGGTTAACCGGTAAAATCCATCAGATAAATCCATTTTCTCTCTCATTCAGCACTACCTCTCTCTCTCCTTCGCAATGGTTAGCCGCCGCCACAATTGCCTGCAACGATGACCTCTGGACGGAGATCCTCGTCTACACGCCCCTTAGGTCTCTGATCTGGTTTAAGTCGGTGTCCAAATACTGGTTCCCTCTCATCTCTGCCTCCCGTTTCTCTCTCCTCCACCCTCCGGCCTCTTTCTCCGGAAAAACCCCTTCGAGTCCAAATTCGAGTTTGTTCCGTTCAGCGACAACAATCCCTCGAAAGCCCCCTTCAGATTTCTCAATTTCGCTTCAGGTATCAAAATGGTACAGTCTTGCAATGGCTTGTTGCTCTGTTCTGGTTTTCCAAAATTTGGCAGAAACACAACTCCTAATTATTATATATACAATCCCACTACCAAGCAATACTCAACACTTCCAACTCTCACTGGAACTGAATATTCTCATGTTTTTTTGTATTAGTTTGGCTTTTGATTCATTATAAGTATATGCATATGTATAAATCTGTTCATTATAAGTATATATGCATATGTATATGTATATGTGCTTTCATGGGTTCTGTAATTGTTGCATAAAAATCGAGAATGAATTTTGATGGGTTTTCTCATTTGATGTTTTGGGTCTGTTTGGCTTGATGGAATCGTGAGGTTTGGTGTTGGGGTCACTGCAATTATTGTTCAAGTATTAGTACTTTTGCTGCAGTTGGAGCTATTGGCACCTGCAATTTAAGGTTTGGTGTTGGCGACGCTGAACAACAGTGGATGACTGCAATTTTTCGGTGGCGATGCGCGATGAGGGAAATACTTTAACGGCGGTGACATGATGATGTGTTGGGTTTCATTTTTCTTTTTCGGCCTTAGAAGTAAAAAGGGTTGGCGAAGAAGAGAGGAAGAACTGAAGGAGAAAGAAAATGGGTTTGTCTCATGGATTCTATTCGGGTAACCAATTTGATCCCATATGATTCATTTTTTATTTTTTGGACAGGTGTCAAGTTTTTATAGGGCCACATCAGGATGGAGGACAAAACTTGTCCAGACAGGGCAAAATCCAAGCATTGCTCTTAAATTTTAGACGTGTGGTCTTAGGCATTGGTCTTTAACACTAGAATATAGACTTAGGTACGTATTAACGTTGTGCCATGTAAATATGGGCATTGGTCTTCATTTTGGGCTTGGATATGCACTGGTTTGTCTTTGGTGACGCTTACAACTAACCATGTACCCCCACCGGCACGTCAAAACCTCCGGCATGAAGTAAAATACACTGTCTACGTCAAAGTCTTTCTACAGTTATGGCCCGCATGAAGAAATAAGCCCTACATTGTTTATATATTATATCATCCTTCAAACATATATAGTATAGTACGTATATATACAGCTACAATTTCCTCCAATGGAGCCGTATAAAAAAACTTAAAAATGATAAGCAAAGTTTCTTCAACCTCTTCTTCCATCATATGCTGGCCGTTCATGATTTGGATGATCGTGGTTTCACCTGTACTCTCTGCACGAAATTATCCACCACTCCCAGCAGCGGTAAGTACTCTCTCTCTCCCTCCCTCTCTCTCTCATATTCTGATATTCATTGATTTTGTTGCGTGAGTTTTGCAGCCGGACCTAGTAAGATTGGAGCAAGCTAGTCCAAACGATCATAAGAAAGTTGGATCTGCTATACCAGCAGGACCAAAAAGAGCTACCGAAGGAGCAGAAAAAATAGTTTACGTAGAAGCTACTAATACTGGCCCCCCAAGTTGGCCAACAGTTTATGTAAAACCTGTCAATACTAG